CCTCATCGAACAAAGTGGGGGAGTTTTTGAATCCCTGTGGCAGCCTTGTCCAAGTGAGTTGTCCTGAGAATCCCGTCTCAGGATCTTTCCATTCAAAAGCAAAAATAGGCTGGCTTTGAGAGCTTAACCTCAGGCAGAAGAATGCATCTTTTAGATCTAACACCGTATACCAGACATGGCTTGGGGGTAAGGTGCTGAGCAAGTTGTAGGGATTCGGCACCGTGGGATGTATGTCCTCTGTCCTCCAGTTAACCTCTCGTAAATCTTGTACCGGCCGGTAATCTCCTGTGCCGGGTTTTTTTACGGGCAATAGAGGAGTATTCCAGGGCGACTGGCAAGGTATTAAAATGCCCAATTGTAATAGTCTCTGTATATGGGGCCGAATGCCTTCTTTGGCCTCTTTGCTCATTGAATATTGCCGGATCGATATGGGGGTGGCCGAGGGTTTTAAGTTTATAATTATGGGCGGCTGGTTTACAGCTAGTCCCATTCCGGCCGTTTCCACCCAGGCCTGAGGGTAGTTAGTGAGCCATTCAGAATCTAGGGGCTGCACGGACGGTGGAGAGTCCTCGTGCAGCCGGTGTTCATCCTCTAGGCGCAAGGTCAGTACCTGGAGGGGCTGCCCTCCCGCGCCAGTAATAGTGGCCCCTTTTTGCTGAAAATGTATCTGGGCCCCTACTTTTGAAAGAAGGTCTCTGCCTAGGAGAGGGTAAGGGCAGTCTGGGACCAGTAAGAAGGAATGCGTTACTTGCCCAGTGCTCAGGTGGACCTTCCGTTCGGTTGTCCATCGATAAAACTTGCCTCCAGTTGCCCCCTGAACCCAAGACGTTTTAGAGCTCAAGGGTCCTTTTGCCTCAGTTAAAACTGAATGTTGAGCTCCCGTATCGACCAGGAAGGTCACCGGCTGTCCCCCCACTTTAAGGGTTATCCGAGGCTCAGGGGGGGGTTCCTGGCCCTGACACCCCTAATCTTCATCTTCTAGGGACAAAACAGGAATGGGCTTCTTTTTAGGTCCCTGCGTTTGGCCCTTCCTTGGGCAATCTTTAACCCAATGTCCTTTTTCCTTGCAGTAGGCACACTGGTCTCGTTCAACCCGTGGTCCTCTTTTGTCTCCCAGGTCCCTACTCTGTCCTGACTTACTCTGCCCTGAGCCCTGTACTACGGTGGCCAGTATCCTAGTCAGCTCTTTGTTACGTCTTTTATCTCTCTTATCCTCCCGTTCCTCTTGCTCTTTACGGATCCTTTCCTCCCTTTCCTCTAGAGTTTCTCGCTTGTTAAAAACCTTCTCTGCCTCTTTCACTAAGTCCTGTAAGGTGTACCCCTGAAGTCCCTCCAACCGTTGTAACTTATTACGAATATCCGAGGCCGACTGTCCAATGAAGGACATAATTACATCTGGTTGGCGGTCTTCAGCCAAGGGGTCAAAGGGAGTATACATGCGGTAGCCTTCTATTAACCTCTCCAGAAAACCTGCCGGCGTCTCCTCTTTTCCCTGCACTATAGCACGTACCTTTGCCAAATTGGTGGGGCGACGCCCTGCCCCTTTGAGACCCGCTAGGAGTACCTGGCGATAGAGACGGAGCCGCTCCCTACCAGCAACAGTGTCGTAGTCCCAGGTCGGGCGAACCAAGGGGAAAACATCCTCAATCTCATTAGGCAGCTGGGTTGGCCTCCCGTCCGCCCCCGGGACGTTTTTCCGAGCTTCGAGGTACACGCGCTGTCTCTCCTCCGTGGTGAGGAGAGTCTGCAGGAGCTGTTGGCAGTCATCCCAGGTCGGCTGGTGGGTCAACAGAATTGACTCAATTAATCCGGTTAGCGCCTGGGGGTCTTGGGAGAAGGAGGGGTTATGAGTTTTCCAGTTGTAAAGGTCAGAGGCAGAGAACGGCCAATATTGCATCTGGCCGCCTACTGACCGGAGGGGAAATGCCTGGGAGGTCCAGACGTCTTCCGACTCTCCCCCGCGCTCTCGCCGAAAGCGGAGGCGACTGGCGAGCGGGGTGAAGCGAGGGGTTGCCCCTCTGCCCCCGTAGAGTCGGGGGACGGAGCTGAGGGAGCAGAGGGAGAGGTAGGGGCCTCCGAGCGGGGCGTTGGGGGTTGGGCATAAGGGGGAGGGGAGGAGTCCAAGAGAAGGAGACTGTCCTGGTCCCCTGGGAGCACAGGCGGCTCCTTAGGTTTTGATTCAGGAAATTTTAGGGGGCAAAGGGTGGATGGAGAGGAGGGACGGGGAATTGGGGGAGTGTGGCAGGGAGGGAGTGAGGGTCTCGGGCCCGGTCCCCCTTGAGAAGGGATAAAGCAATTTATCCAGGGGGGGGATTCTTAGCGAGATCCTCCCATACTATGATGTACGGCACCTGATCGAGGTGTCCATTGGGTCCTGGCTGGAAGACCAGGGCCTTCACCTGCAAGATAATATCAATATTAAAAGTTCCGTTCCTGGGCCACCCGACGTTGAAAGCCGGCCACTCTGAGGAGCAGAAGGTGACCCATCTTCGTCTTCTGACTTCGACCGAAAGATTGTGTGCCCGGCCGGCGACTTCTTTCCAGTGATCTAGAGTGAGGCTTAAAGGGGTGGTTACAGTCTGCCCCATGGGTGTAGAGAAGGGGTGAGCGGTGAGGAGGAGGACAGGAAAGGAAGAGAAACACGGAACGAACAGACGCACACGAACGACAGGACTGGCGCGGCAGATTCAGATGGGAGCGGTCGCGAACAACGACCTTCCCTGAAGAGGAGGGAGTGCCGGGGCTCCGTTCCTCTTCCAGACCACTCCGGAGTCCGACTCCGGAGGGGGACCAGGGGTCTCGGGCACGTCTGCCTCCCCCGCTGGTCCAAATACAGAATACAGAGTACAGCGTCCTGCAGGCACAATACAGACCCGGCACAAAACAGACCCGGCCAGTCAGACAAACGGACGAGACAGATATGACATTTAGCGAGCTCGGTCTTACCTCCTACCGGTCTTAGGATTGAGTCTGGGGCGTCTCAGATCCCGGACGAGCCCCCAAATGTTGGACCCTGGCTCACGGGTGCCAACGTGGCCCGGTGGACGCCCCAGAGACCCAGACCCCAGACAGGCAGATGCAATTAGCAAGAGGGTTTATTGAACGTTTGCGCAAACGGGCTCTCCGCCTCCGAGGAGGAAAAGAGCCCCGATTAGCAGTTACAGGTATCTTTTAAAAGGCAAAAGGAAAGAAACTGCCTAAAGACAAAAGAACCGCGGGAGTCTCGTAGCATCCAGGTTGATTTCGGGGAGGGTCAACATGAACCTATTCAGGGACATTCCAGTCAGGGTGTGTGGGGGGGGAACGGTTTTCTTATTGTAAACAGAATGCTTTTAGTTGCTAAAATTTCAGGAAGAAGACTGGATGGGCTGCCTCTGGATTAGGGCTGGCCCTACTTACAAGGGGGGAGGTTTCTTCAACATAAATATATAGACATTGCTGGATCCAGGTGTTCAGTGTCATATCATCAGGAATATTCTTTCTATCTCTTGGTTCTGCTTCTTACTGTTTTGGATTCATTCTCAGTCAGGTCCTCCCCAGAATACCCATTAGGAACTTCCAGCCTACTTTTACCAGCTTAGCAACCCCAGTAGAGAAGGAATGCCACTTTATCAATAGTCCTAGCAAAAATTCCAAGGAAGGTTCTCTAGGTCATGAAAATCAAATCACAGAGATAAAATTATCTAGAGGAAACATAAAAGTAATAAGCTTCCAAATGAGCATGGAGAAGAAATGTACTCATTCCAAAATGATCTAGACTCTATTTATTCAAGAAATTTAAAATACAAGACACAAGATGTTTATTTCACTTTATTTTATTTTAACTCCAGTGTAATTAATGGTTAAAATACAGTGTTATATGTTATCTTTAATCCAATAAATATTTTCACATATTATGATACTGGGCATATCATGCTAATAGTCCAAATAAAATAGAAATTATTATTTCACCTTTCCAGTCCAACCTATAAATACAGTAGTATAGGAGCTTATGATTACATATCTTTGAAGGAGTCATAATGGAGCCAGAAGAGGGCTGAAAAGGGCAATTAAAGTAGCTTTGTCTTTGTGAGAATTCCTTAAATAGTTTTACTGAGAAACCAATTAATAAACCTCTTCATTCTCAAATGACAGGATCTATGGATTTGAGAAATATTTGTAAATTTACTTCTTTGTAAATTTACAGCATAATTCTCAGAAGTTTATAACTGAATTTTCCATGAAATTTATGTTCTGAATAAAGGATACAATAACGTTCAGGACACAAATCAAAAAGAGAAATAAACGATTCAATTGGCTTTAAAAACAAGTTTTAGATAACAAAAGAATATGTATAGAATAATTCTATTTGGTGTTCAAGTTATGCATACATATATTCATGTATGTATATGTGATATATAACAAATGAAACACTGAACCAAATATAGGCTATCCTGGTTGGGGGTATTTGGTACAATTTTAATTTTCTTATTTATCTATGGCTTTTTGTTTTACAGTTTCTAGCATGAATCTATAAATTAATTTTAAATAACAAAAAGAATAAAAAATCTGTTTCTTTGAGAGAAAGAGAATTCTGTTATAAAGGTAAACTAGCTTTGCCTTTTGAAGTGATGTTGTAGTGGCTCTTTGCACAGTTTTCTCCCCAGATATCATAAGTATTTCAATAACAACATTGGGTTAGGTAGGCTATTACCTCTGAAAGAATGTGGCATTTCTCTTATTATGTAAATATTAATCAAATGCAGTTTTAATGCATTATGCTTGGGTGACAAGAATTAATTAATTAATTAATTTATTATTTTGAGAGAGAGGGAGAGGGAGAGAATCTCAAGCAGGCTCCACAGCATGATGTGGGGCCTGATCTCATAACCCTGAAATCATGATCTGAGCCAAAATCAAGAGTTGGACACAGATGCCCCAAGTGATAAGACTTTAATCACATTTACTGATACCTATCTTAATAAATCAGTTTTATTCTTTCCATGATCGTATCATTCAAGAACAAGCTTCTAATACAGACAACAATCTGAACCAAGGATCCAGCTTAATAGAATCCATCTTTAAAGTATTGTACCATTGCAATTTTTCTCCACAAATATTTGGAAATGTTTTTGTGAGCTACATGGAAGAAGAACAATTATGGGACTTCCTATATAACATTCCAGGTATGAGAATTTACTATTTGGAAAAGAAGTGTTATAGAGATAATTAAATATATCTTTAAAGATGCTTTGAAAGTTTTATTGATGTCACTTTTGCTGAATCTGTTATTGATAAAAGTTTATCTTACAATTTTTTTTCAGGATAAATGTTTCTTCTGGGAATCATTAACCATTAGGTCCTATCAAACTAAAGTATACTTGGGACAATGTGAAGGAAGGTTGTGAGATGGATTATGTGATGCAGACTTTCTTTTTCAATTATTATTAGGAAGTGTCCTCTTATAAAAATTTAATTTAATATTTACCATAGATTATGTTTTGCTATTGAGGATATAAGACATTAGTAGCACATGAATAAGTATTTTATGAATCTTAGATGCATTTATTCAACAAACTCATGGAGGAAATTTTCTTTTCTTCAAATGTATTTTTCTTTAAATGTAAAAGTGTTTGTTATTATGACCATAGTGCCTCTGTTTCTACAAGGCAAGAATGTTCTATGGTCCCTTTGGGGATAATAGGCTTTTCCATTTGTACTGGTCTTCTGCCTACAGCTTGAATGGATATTAAAGCCAGAATAGGTTGCATATTTGAATAGAAAGTGTTCATGGGTTGCCCCAGCTTCAGGGCCAGGTGAAAAGGCTCTTGCTTTATTTTATACTTAATATCCTGGCTTTAAATCTTAATACCTTGGGAAAACAAAGAATAAGAATTTAGTAGCTATCCTCTTAGTCTATTAACTATTTACATCATATACATTTTGGCTATTGACCTATAAACTGTTTTATACGTTGTTTTGGGAACTACAATTCCATAAAAGATTTCCTTGGAAATTTTTTCTATTAAGGTATCCTCAAGCCCAGAGTTTCTTTTCTCAGCTATGTCCAGTCTACTAATAAGCCCTAGAAAGGCATTCTTCATTTTTGTTACATTATTTTTGATGTCTGGTATTTCTTTTTGGTTCTTTCTCAAGATTTCCATCTCTCTACAAATACTGCTCATTTGTTCTTGTATGCTGTCTATTTTGTTCATTAGAACTCTTAGCATATTCATCATAGTTATTTTAATTCCTGGTCTGATAATTCTAATCGCCATGTCTGTTTCTGATGCTTGCTCTATCTTTTCAAATTGCATTCTATGCCTTTTAGTATGTCTTGTAATTTTTTCTTTAAAGCCAAACATGATGTTTTGGGTAAAATAACTGCTATAAAGAGGCATTTAGTGATATGGTGGAGAGATGTTGGGGAGGAGAAGCATTCTATAGTCCTATGATTAGGCCTCAGTCTTTTAGTGGGCCTATGCCTCTGGATGACATAGTTCACAAACATTTCTCAGTTTTTTCTCCCATTTTGCGTAGGAGAATATGGCTAGAGTGGAATGGAGTTGGGTATTTTTCTCTTCTTCTAAGTCAGTTTGGCTCTGATAATATCCCAGTGAGTTATGGTCTATTTTTGTAGATCCTCCCGAGCGCAGCCCTTAAGAAGAACAGAGTACTCTGGCTTATTTCAAAATGTTCCTTTTCCTCTCGTCTTGCTGGATTTTTCTCTGACATTTACTATGGGCACCTAGTTGAACTCATAGAGGTAAAACTCACAGAAGTGTGGCAGCCTCCACATGACAGGGTCCCCCCTGGAGTTTTAACTCTCAGACTTGTCCACACTGAGAACCCCAGCAGTTCATCAATTACAATTCAGACTTCCTCCCTTGGCACTAGATCCCATGGTAGGTTCTGCTTGTGAGTCTCCACTCCAGTAAGCTGTGACTCCCTGCATTTGTCATCTCTATCGCTCCTATCTTGGAGGCAGTAGTTTGCCTTGTGTCCTCACCTCTCTACATATCCAAGAAGAGAAGTTGATTTTTCCAACTGTTCAGCTTTTTACTTGTTGTTAGGACGAAGTGGTAACTTCTAAGCTCTTTATATGTGGAGCCAGAAACCAGAAGGGCTTGTCACTTACTTTCTTTTCTTTATTCTCTCTTCTTCTTATCTTTCCTTTTCTTTTTGCTAGATCTGTACCTTATCCCTACCATAGGTATCTGTGGATGTTATTTGAATCCTCCCTTATAGTATCCCATGCTCAACTTGTTTCAGAACCCTTCATCAAAAGAATACTAGGCCCCCTATACCAAAATATTGTAAATTTTATGGAAACTCATCTTAGGTAATAATAATAATAATAATAATAATAATAATAGCATATACTTACATAATGTGTCAAGTGCCCACAAATTAATTCATGTAGGTTTTAAATAATTCTTTGAGATAGGACTGTTATTTTGTGTATAGTTTGTAATACCTTGATTTGTTTTAAAAGGAATAAACATACCCTTTTAATAAAAGGAAATAGGGGAATTTCTGGCTTTCTAGAATTTTTAGATACCTGAGATGTATTTAATCCATGACTCCAAAGAGTTCAACCAAAGTAAATATTAATTACAGATACAGGAAGAAGGCTTATTTATGCCTTTCAATGAATTAAAATCTTGAAGCATCATTTAAAAAGATAGATTGCTATATCCTCCACCATTTCCATAAAGAATAACAGCTCACTTGATGATTGTACCATGTTAAAAGTTAAACTCTCAATATTGGATATTACCAGGATCCTCTTTGACATTATTGTTCTTTTTTTTTTTTCTTTTTTTTCTTTTTTTTTTTTTTTAGAGAGAGGGAGAGAGAGTGTGGAGGAAGGGGCAGAGGGAGAGAGTGAATGCTAGAGTAGACTCCCTGAACACAGAGCCCAATACAGGGCTTCACATGAGACTCCAGGTGGAGCTCCATCCTAGGACTCTGAGGTCACTACCTAAGCTGAAATCAAGAGTTGGTTGCTCAAGAGACTGAGCCAGCCAGGTGTCCCAGCAGCATGGTGCTTTTAACAATGTATTGAGTTATTTAAGAAATAACACCTTAAGGTGCCTGGCTGGCTCAGTCAGAAGAGCATGCAACTCTTGACCTCTGGATTGTGAGTTGGAGCTTCATGTTGGATGTAGAGGTTACCTAAATAAAACTTTAAAACAAAAGAAATATCACCTAAAATTTTGAGGGGGAAAAACATATACGTTGTTTTCCATTTTGATTCAAGTGGTTATCCCAAGACTTCCCTGTCATATTAAGAAACAAGTAAAATTTTATTGTAATAATCACACAAGCAGTACATAGTCATTGTGGGTAATCTATGCAATCAGAAAGACGGCAGGATAGCAGAAAGAAGGAAAGAAGTTAAGGAGAGGGAGGGTACAAAAGAAGGAAAAGTAAAAGAAGAAAAAAGAAAGGAAAATATCTGAAATCCCATTAGTTATTGATAATCACCATTAACGCTGTAGAGTACATCTTTTAACTCTTTTATGTGTGGTTGTGTGCACATGTGTGTATTTAATATAAATAGCAGGTAGTACTTTTCCTTTACTTATTTTTTTACTGAACAATATATGGCTTTATTGTATAGATGTGTAACTATTTAAACAAATAACCAGTTGTTGGATATTTAGAGTATTTTTCAATTTTCCTTTATATACTTTACATGATTATATGTAAAGATGAAGTCCTAGAGACGGAATAAGTGGGTTAGCAGGTAAGTAAAATGTTAAAGTGTTGATATTATTGCCAAGCTGTCATCTAAGAAGGTCATACCATTTATATTTCTACCATTAGAGTTCCAAACCACAAGCAAATACTGCTATTCACTGTTAATTGAATTGCCATTTTATTATTAAAAAGAAACTCTTTTTTTTCAAATGTTTATGGACTGTTTATTAATTATATGATTTCAAGGTTAAAAGCAGCTCTCCTTTTCTATAGCTTTAAACTAGATTACTGAGAAACTAAATTCTCAGCTGAATAAGGCACAAAATATTGCCAGATTCTGCTAACTATAACATACTGTCTGATTCTAAAGTCTCAACGTTTTTGGAGTCTGAGCTAGAGGTCATCCGATGCTTGAGATTGGCACTGACCGACGCTGTCAAGGACATTGTACAGCAGATAATATTTATGATGAGCCCTGGGAGAAACTGTGAGACCAACCTCAACAAGCATAGTGTTCCTGAATGTTTGCGTGAGAGCATTCCAAAGGAATGGAATTATATTCCAAAAGAAACTAAAAGGAAAGAATCAAGCAAAGGTATCTCTCGCTCTCTCTCTTTTTTGTAAGAACACATTCCCCAAGAAGCAATTTTCCAGGATATAAAATCAAGTAAAATTCTAAAAATTATAAGATTTGTAAACTATTTGAGTCCTTTTCCCACCATTTCTATGTGTTTGGGACATGTAATTTTTTTTTTTTTTTTTTTTTTTTTTTTTTTTTTTACTGTGAGCCTTATGACCAAGGAACCTAGAAATGAAAATGACTCAAATGGTTATCGTCTTTATTTAATTACCAATTCAGAATTTTCTGTGATATGTTGTGTTCATGTTAGTATTCACAGAGTAGTCGATGATTATGACTAACCTTAAATCTACTGAGTAAAATTCGTATTCTTGAGAAGATTGTTCTGATGTTCAATTTTATATTTTTCCTTGAAGTTTTTTCTACTGCAACCACCAACTATTACTTTCTTTTCTCTTGTTAACAGATCTACTTGGTTAGTGTTTAGGTCAAAAATAGCACAGCATTTAGCAACTATATATTTTTTGACCAAGTATTTCCCCCCAGGGACCTATGGTTCTGAATTCAGTGCATTGTTTCTATTAGGGGCAGTGTATCTTAGAACCATGAGTTACACTATTCTTTTTTTATTTTATTTTATTTTATTTTATTTTATTTTATTTTATTTTATTTTATTTTATTTTTAAAGACTTACTTGTTTATTTTAGAGAGGGGGTAGAAGCGGAGGGAGAGAATCCTCAGGCAGTCTCCCTGCTGAACAAGGAGCCCAACGTGGGGCTCCATCTTATAACCCTGAGATCTTGACCTGAGCCAAAACCAAGAGTCAGATGCTCAACGGACTCAGCCACTGAGGCACTCCTCATTTATTTTATTAATTAAGTCCTCTCTTCTTAAATGGCTTCATCTTACTTACATGATTTTGCATTAAGATTCCTTTGAATGTGTATTATGTAGCCATATTAATGAATCTTCTTTAGGATTTTTAAAATAAAATTTTTCCCTTTATATTCATCTTTATTTTTTTTATAATCTTTAACGAAGAATATTTTTTCATTAACTTAAGGAAACCTTCAATGGTAAAATATGTTAACTGAACCTACTAAAGTCAATCGAAGGGACTAGTCTTTCTTTCATTCTTCTCCATGGAGATCCTAAATAATGTGGCTCTTATACAGCAACCTTATATTACAAACTCGAATCAATTATCTATCTGTGACCTTTCATAGTCATGCTTTAATTCTGTCCAAGCCCTATTAAACTGCCTTTGAATCTAGTAAAGCCATTTAATTGAAGTTGGAAAATGTCAGCTTTTCATTACTTAAGTTGTCTGAGTTGTTGCCATCTCCCCTTCATTATAGCTTTTGGATATTTCATAGATTATGAGTAATTCGGGAGGCATAATCTATAGTTAACATATCATGTTTTATGAGTAGCACTATTTTGTTTGTGGCTTTCAAGTAATTCTATTGATGAACAATTCTGCTTTCTAAAGGTGTTCTGCATTCTTCCATAATCTTTCAAAGAAACTCAGGGTCCAAAAAAAGCTTACTTTGTGAAATCAGTTCTTGTGATTTTCCTTACTAAATAATATTCTCCATAAAACTGTCACTATCACTATAAAAAAAATGTGGAGGAAAGTGACTGTATAAACCATTTTGTGCATTCCAGGTGGATATGACGATAGGAGAAGAGCATGATTCTCCATCTCTACCCTATTTTAGGTTGGCATTGTTCAACCTTCATTATTGCTACATTATGTAAGACAGACAATATTTACAGACTAGACATTAAGTCCCTTATTCATTCAATTGATATTTACTAAGTAAGTTACTACTATATGCCCAGCACTTCAGTTGAGGCTAAAGATAAACTATAAAGTAGGTACCTCCTCTTGGTGCTCAGAAACTGCTATAATTGGTTCCAAATGGGTACAAACCATTGGGGATGTACAAGATAATTCTCTGGTGTATGAGAAGAAAAGAAGTGAAACTTTATTAAAATTTCATATGAAGATTTTCACGGTAACTCTTCTTGGTCTGACTGAGGCAGTTTTGGGGGTGATGGAAAGAATGGCCTACTTTTTCATTGGTTTTCAGGGTATAATACTGAATTAAGTTTGTCCTTTGTATTTCCGAATCTAGTCTTAACAAAATTAATCCTTACAAAACATACAAGTGGCTTTACCATATTCCCATAGATCAATACATCAGCTGCAGGTGAAAACTAATACTGACAATGCAAGAAAGAACAAACAATAACCTCACACTGATTTCTATTTCTGACATGACCTCTTTCTCAGCCATATTTATAAGGTAAAATGATGATGACCTAATCAGATTTGGTCAAAAAAATATTTTAAAAAAGGAAATATATGGGAAAACCATTTGAAATATTACCTCCCATACATTATTATTAAACATGAATCCCTCCTAAGTAGGTATCGTGCCTTGAGATACCAACTAAAGACAGTTGGAAAGTAAAAGATTGATGAGTAAAAGATCTCAATACTAAGCATCCAAAACATGAAGACAAACCTCTGTAATTGCTTTCAAGAATGTTTTAAGTGATATTTAACCATTAAAAGACAAATAGTCATTAGCTTAAGGGGACATTTGTCCTTCCTAAAACAGTGAAAATGAGAGAACATGGAAAACACTATGGTGACAAACCGAAATGCATTTCTTTATTTCTTTGTCAGTAAATACCGTTACATAGAAAATAGTGGATATTTAAAGAAACATATTATAAATTATACAATGTATGAGATTTACTAAAGAGTTGAATGAAAGCTCAGATGCTTCTGATATAGTTCATCTTGGGTATTTGTTCCCTTATGTTTCAAAGAATAGATACACAAAGTAGTTGTTTTATTTCATTGACAACAATTAAATGAAAGATGTACCAGAAAAGTACTTTTTTAAAATTTTATTTTTTGAGATTTTAAGTCCTCTCTATCCCCAATGTGGGGCTTGAACTTATAATGCCAAGATCAAGAGTCACACTGAGCCAGCCAGCTACCTCAGTATATTACTTTTTCAAATAAAAAGAATGCTGTATTGGAAAACTGTTGGGGTAATTGTTTTAAATGAATGGATTTTGGAGAGAAAACAGAGGTAGCATTGCAAGAAAAAATATATTCATGATTTCATGCACATGCAGATTGTTGGGAAAGAAAGCTGATGGCAGAAATATATAAAATGCTACCAGAAGTTATTAAGATAGTTTATTTTCTAAAAGCCAGAAATATTAGTTTTATAAAAACCAGTATCACAAATAAAAATATCATATCTATACACTTAAGAACTTAGACATAGGATTTTCTAACATAATTTAAAATGTTCCAAATAAGAGTTTCAGTGATTACTAAATATTTTTCTTGAAAATAAAAAAATGAAAAATTTTTCAATTTGTTTTCAAGAACAACTAATTGACATCATGATTAATGAATATTTATCCGTAAATTGTCAACAACAGCCTTTGCCTATTTGATAGCTGAGATTGAAAAACAAGTGCCGTAATTTCACAAGCACAATTACTGACAGACTTGTGCCAATGTAGATCTATCACATAGTAGCTTTTTCACCTATGACAGACACTAAAATCAAGTATTGAAACAAACTGAACTTAGCACTTACCCTTTGAATCACTGTATTGAAGTTTTAAACCCAGATTTTGAAAATAACACAGCATATTACATTATCCTCAATCCAGAAATTATTATTGACATTTTATACCATAAATAAAATTTAAAAAATAACGTTTAGATATTATTTTGTCTTCATTCATTGTAAATTTCCTTTCTGCAGGTTTTCTAATCATAAAATATATTATTACAGCCAGTGGTACATGTCTAGGAAGAAAGAAATAAATACATAAATATTCATATCACATTACATCCACTCTAAGACATACATTTTTTTCACACTTTGTCAACTCTGAAATTGGCCCTTCCAACATGTAACATATACATGGCTTAGATAGAAGCCAAAATATTTAATAAGGGCAGAAAAATGAGTGTGTGACATTCTTAGAAGATCCTTTCCTGATGTGTTATTAACCTCATCACACTCAGAGTCCCTGTGATTAGTAGAATGGGTTTATTAATTTGTTATTAGTCTAAAGGTTCTGATTGGAATTTGCCATAAGCTTTAATAACATAGGGAGGATTTGAGTACCTGGGGTCCTCAGATTTTCTAAAATATCAGGGTAAGTGCAGGTGCAAAGAAAATTGATAATCTTTACCTAATATCTACTTAGATTGTCAAATGTTTCCTTGGTGTCTGCAGTTAAACCCTCTTTTGTATAAACACAGCACAAGATACAATCTCCAAGTCAAACACCTGAGAGTAGATTAGGGAGTATATGACACAAACACATAAAGAACAACAAAACTTTAAAATAAGTTAAGAATACAAGGAAGAGTGGTCACAAAGGAGTTTCTTAATTTGCTTCATTTATATTTTAAGCTTCATCTAAGCATATTCATTTGGATAAAAAGAAAGCATTTATCAAGGAACTGCTTTTTACCAGGGACTGAGCTAGGTGTTTTTACATTTCTTATTTTTGTTGAACACAATAGTCTTATGAGATCTTTCAAATATATATTAGGCCCAATTTTGCAAACTTGCAAAGACTGTTCTAGCTCATTTTTAACATGATTCTTGTCATGAATTTCTGTGGAGTCACTAGACTAAGACATATGTTTTCCAAGAGCTTTGTACGTTTTTAGAGCAGAGTGACTTCTTTAAATGTCACAAATATCTTGAAAAATCTTTCACTTTTTTTTATTATTTTTGTTTAGTAAAAGCAGTGAAGATTACTGAAGAACTCAAAGCTATCTTCTTTTGACTTGTCACTCAGTTTCAATTTCCAAATTCTATTATGTATGTAGTGGATTAAAACACTGTGCCTGGCTTTGTGGGATAGTCAAAGACCAACGAGGTTTCTTTCCATGCTCTTGAGGAGCTTTTAGTCTACTTATAAAGATAATTCGTGAAGACATAAATAACATAAACAATAATAGATGTTAATATAAAAGATGACAGCATGGCACATTATGGACCTAATTACCAAAGTGGTCATATAGAAAATATGTTCATAGGAGGAGAGGACTTTGAACCAAGGGTTGAAAAAGATGGGTGACCTATGGAGAGAGAGGGCATTCCATGTGAGAGTAATAAGATATTCAGAAGCCTAAAAGCTATGAGGATAAAATAAAGTTTTACAGAAACTGGCTAAGGCTGGACTGTGGAGTATTTTGACAGCAACACTCCAGAGACTGATCTTGTAACAGTGGAAAATAGCTAAAACAACTGTGGTAGAGAAATTAGATAACAAATATTACAGTATGTGAATTTGGCTTCATAACACAGGAGAGAGGCTGGGCATAGTCTGGAGCAGGGAGATGAGTTAGAGGAGTTAGGAGAGTACTGCAGTAGTCCAGGTACTGTTCATAAGGAGGGGCTTCAATAGACCAGTAGTCATGTTTCATAGTTAAGTGAAACTGGATGTCAGAGATGAGGGGATAGGAGGATTTATCAACGTGGTTTCTAGAATGAAGGGTCAACAGGACTACTTAAAAGATTTAAAAAGGGATCCCTGGGTGGCGCAGCGGTTTGGCACCTGCCTTTGGCCCAGGGCGCGATCCTGGAGACCCGGGATCGAATCCCACGTCAGGCTCCCGGTGCATGGAGCCTGCTTCTCCCTCTGCCTGTGTCTCTGCCTCTCTCTCTCTCTCTCTCTCTCTCTGTGACTATCATAAATAAATAAATAAAAAATTAAAAAAAAAGATTTAAAAAGAAGGAACTAAGGAAGGAAGGAAGGCATAGAGGGAGAGTGGAGGGAGAGTCAGCAAGGCCAAGCTAGTTTAGGAGGAAAACAATTAATTTAGTTTTAATTATAATGAGTTAATTATTGCTAGGTCAGAGAAGTGGAATGTCCAATTGGGATCTAAAGTTGTAGGTTGCTACCCTGGAGAAATGCCAAGACAAGAATCTAGAACCATCTAGAAGAGTGGTTCTCAACCAGGAAAGATTTTGCACCCAGGGGACATTTGGCAATGCTTGGAGACATTCTTGGTTGTCAAAACTGAGGTGAATGTTACTTGACATCTAGTGGGTGCAGGCCAGAGATGCTGTTAAAACCTCTTATAGCGGGATCCCTGGGTGGCACAGTGGTTTGGCGCCTGTCTTTGGCCCGGGGCGCGATCCTGGAGACTCGGGATCGAATCCCACATCGGGCTCCCGGTGCATGGAGCCTGCTTCTCCCTCTGCCTGTGTCTCTGCCTCTCTCACTCTCTCTCTGTGACTGTCATAAATAAATAAAAATTAAAAAAAAAAAACCTCTTATAGCGCATAAGACAGCTCCTCACAACAAAGAATTATCCAGCCCAAATGTCATTAGTGCCAAAGTTGAGACACCCTGATCTACAGAGGGAGGATCAGTTCATTCTTCAGAGAAATGGCACCAAGCAAAGGAGGGCGTGTAGAATCATCAGTCAACAGGCAAGGACTTCTTAGCAATACTTACATTTAAGAGGTGTTAGTATAAATCAGAACTAGCATGGGACACAAAGAAGAGTAATAAAGGTAACCATGCACCAGTTTGTTGGCCTATTCATTCACCAAATCTTTATTGAACAACTGATACATGAGGTACTGCGTGTTGGGGAAAACTGCTGTGTCTTCATGGAGCTTATGTACTAGTGGAGGGGGACAGATAATGAACAATGAAGGAGATAATTATTAGGTGACAAAATAGCCTCTAATGATAGGGAGGTTGGGGAGCTGGGATGGGAAGAGCATGAAGGGATGCTTTGGATGGGGTGGTGAGTGAAGGGTCTCTGAAGAGGTGACATATGGGCTAAGAAGGAGAAGAGGAGGAGCCAGGCCTGACAAGACCTAGAATGATTCTGTTATGGATTCCAAGGGAGGAGGAGGTTTAAGAAAGTATCAAAGGCCACAAAGAGGTCCAACAGGAGTACATTTGTTACTTAGGACATCTGAGCCCTTAAAACTGCCACCTTAATAGATAAAAGTTTAATTAATAATCTTAAATTTGCTGATCTTCATTTGTGAGGGGAAAAAAAAACTGAGGTTTGAGTTTTAGGCAGCGACCCCAGTAGAGTTCTGTTGGAATATGTCAAGTACTTGCTCTTCTCAACAATTTTCTCCACAAAAATTAGACATCCCCACGCAACACTCAAAACAACCCAGTGACGGAATGCATATGCTAATATTAATCATACCTTTTCTTTCCTTTCTTCCCCAGGCTTCACAAGGCTTGCTGTTCAGGCAGTATCTATTGTAATCAGCAAGTTACCTACGGTGATTGCATGTTTGCCTCCCCCAATTAAATACTTCTTTTCTCTGTCTGAGAGAAAAATGTCAAAAAACTTTGTTGAATTGAAGAAAGCTAGCCTCCTTGTCTGGAACTTGATTTTAATTATATGTCGGATATTTGAGGATGGAAACACTGTGGAACTTTTAACAGGTGCCTCCCTTGACAGATGGAGTAAAGAGAAACTTGGTTTAATCTGTGTGTGTTTGGAAAGCATCATGGGAAAGCAGACAAGTGGGCCTAATCAAATGGCCCAGAGGGTCATACAGAGCATTGAGCAGGAAAAACCCAACTGGATTGAGAGCCAATTGTTGAAAGCAAGGAAGTTGAGCACCAAATGGTAAAGTGATGTTTTTCTTGACCTGAATTTCATCAAATATGTTCCTGATAACAAAACCACCAATAAACAACAACAAAATACTGATAGGCAACAGTGGTTATTTTAACTTCATGGGAATTTTGATGAATGCATAAAAAGATAAATATTCCATTAAAAACTGGATTATTAGACGTTCCTTGTTCTATTAAAATTTGAACCCCAATGACACACTGAAACATAATACCTATTTTTTTTTAACATTATACCTATTTAGTCACCATCTTAAGGTTTCTGTTAAAAAGAGTGGGAGCTAAACCCAAGAGAATTTGGTTTCATTCTTTTTTAGTGCACAAACAGGTATCTAGTTGATAGCCAGGAGCATTTTATAAATGGATTGGGCATGGAGATTAAATTAAGAAGGAATTAATGGATATAAAAGGCTTTTTATTGCTTTCTGTGTACCTGATTGTCAAAAAGGTACACATTTTTCATCTGGTAATGTAAGAATCCCATAGGGCAGCTGGGGCATATCACACTCGAGCTATAAACACACCCAGCTGTTTCGGTATGAAAATGTCAGCCTTCTCATAGGTTTGTCACCAGGAGCTAAGTGATTTGTGGTATTGCTAAGATCTTTAAGGGTCCCTGATGAATTTAAATATGTACATAGAGTACTCCTGTCTTAAAATTAGTCTTCAGTTTAGAACTGCATGATATTGATAAAGGTATTACAGCTCATATGGTCTACAGATCACCAAGCCAGCCCTTTTTTATACCACTCACACACACTGTTCCCCATACTTTTACAATCTCTTCATGTTGCTGGCAAATACTATTTTAACTTTCTTGCCTGAAAATGACCAAAAGTTGCTACTTTCCTTAGTACGTGGTAGTGACAAGGAATTCAGGCTTTGGAATCAGATGGACAAATACAAATCCCTTGTAAGTGGGCCATCTTGGGCAAACTATAGAATCTCTCAAAGCCTCATTTTCAGTGGTGATACCAAGCTGATGGAGTAGTTTTGAAAAATTAAATAAGATTCATAAGGTTCTTAGCACCAAGCTTAGTAACAAATGCATCAAGCGAGCATTTGTTGTTTATAAACTCTATTGAAATACATTGCACTCATTGGCATTATGATAACGAATGCTCTTTACTGGTTTGTGTTAATTTCTGTAAGACTTTATTTAAAAAAAAAAATTTTTTAAAGATTTTACTTATTTGTATGACTTCATACTATTCCAAATGGGAAAATGTAGCTAATCATGATTTTCCTGGTCTTGTCATACTGACTTCCAGAAATTTACTTCTGGGGTGTCCTGTGGGTAGGAATAACAGTAGCAATCGGGCAAATGCTTAGTAACTCTGAAAGCAGCCTCTTTAATCTTTATATTTGCATTCAATACCAATTTACAGGCTTTAATCCGATGACTAAAAGATTAAGGCCAGATATCATCATCTCGACGGCAGTGGTTATAAAGAGAGAAAAAAAAGAATACAAATAGTGGATCTGATTATAAAATTAAATCTATGATATTTCTGATTTAGGGGTCCCCTTATCAATAAGATCAGTGTAAAGTAGTGTCTCAGTTATATACCTGAGGCCTCATACAAGAATCCATTAATAATTTTTTTTCCTTAAAAGTTGGTTTACATTCCTTATAAACAACATCAACACATCGAACACCTCCTATATAGAGAATTGTCTAGCTGATATTTGGCTGATTAGCTATGTGTTGCAACATGCATCCAAAATGAAGAACTGTTGATTTTTAAAATGTTTTTTTTTTTTTTTAAAGATTTTATTTATTTATTCATGAGAGACACAGAGAGAGAGGCAGAGACACAGGCAGAGGGAGAAGCAGGCTCCATGCAGGGAGCCCGATGTGGGACTCGATCCCGGGTCTCCAGGATCACACCCTGGGCTGTAGGTGGTGCCAAACCGCTGTGCCACAGGGGCTGCCCTTAAAATGTTTTTACAGGGGGCACCTGGGTGGCTAGGTGGTTGAGTGTCGGCCTTTGGCTCAGGTCATGATCCCGGGTTCAAGTCCTGCATCTGGCTCCCCATGAAGAGCCTGCCTCTTCCTCTGCCTATGTAAAGATTTTACTTATTTATTCACGAGAGACAGAGAGAGAGAGAGAGAGAGGCAGAGACATAGACAGAGGGAGAAGCAGGCTCCATGCGGGGAGCCCGATTTGGGACTCAATCTCAGGACCCCGGGATCACACCCTAAGCCAAAGTCAGAGCTTAACCGCTGAGCCACCCAGCCTCCCAAATAAAATCTTTAAAAAAAAAAAATGTTTTTACAGTCCTCAAAGTTCCTGAATGTGTATTATGTAAGTATGTAATTAACATAATGCTATGTCTTTCTCAGTTTCTTGAATATCAATATATAGATTTCAGATTTGCAGTTATTATATTTATTTGAAACAGTTAAATTTGACTTCTTAACTCACAGTAGGTTATCTCTTACAAGATTTGGGTGCTATAGGAATGTACTTCTTGACTCTGATTTCAGATTGATTATTTCTTCTACAAGTGAACTTCTATATATTTCTCACAAACTGATGATCATTTAGTTTCTAGATCTATACCATAACAAAAATGTATTTTAAATCCTGATGTCTGTGTCTAGGTGAAGAGCTGCCTTGGGTTTATCATAATTGTTTTTAAATTTGAGAATGTAACCATATAAACTAAAATAGTGCTTCTGTTCAGATAATTGAAATTTTAATTCTCCGCAAAGATGATCTCAGAACTACACAATATGATTTCAGTCGATTTCTTTCGCTTACATTCAGATTTAACTTTGATTTTATAGAAATTGTGAAAAGATCTGCAGCGGAAAGGTGGCAGCTGTAGTGCCTGAAAGCATTACTATTCATTAAAATAACCTTCACTTTGTAGTAACACTCAAGCTGTAAACAGTCAACTTAGATTCTGGAGAACACACAGCCCAAAAAGTAAAGAAATGCCTGTCTTTGCAAAGTAATTTGTCGAGTTGAAGATTATTGTTTTTCATCATGGTGACCCTGACTTGGCTGGCTGGGTGCATATACAGATTAAGATTAATGCAGTTATTCCTTGGCTAAGGTCTGCCTCTTTCAGGGCACATTCTCCCTAATGACATGATTGATAGGCAGTCCCAAATCCAGAGAGGAACTCATTAATCATAGCATTGACTGAATCCAATCATTTGCTTCACCTGCACAGTGATGGACAGGAAAGGATACAATTCAGGGGCTGACACTGAGACACTCTTTTGTCAGAGGGCCTCAACTTTTTCAATGTCAGCCTCTACAGAACCTGACAAGAAATCTTGCTTGCAACCTGTATGCAGCTTCAAAAAGCTATTTACAAACTTCCTTTATTGCAACGTCTTTTTTGTTTGTTTAAAGATTTACTCTAATTAATGAATATGTCGCAGAGTAAGAGTTGCTTTATTTTTAGCAAGCCTTATACAATTGTAAAGTTCCTTTTTTTTTTTTAAGAAAGATGTTTTGAAGCTACATGTGGAAGCAATATAAAAGTTAATGTCCAGCAGCTGGGTATCATTTGGTTCAGTCTTCAGGTCAGCGGCACTGACTCTTAGCAGAACTAATTTTATAATCACGGCAAAATCTCAGTAATGAACTGCAGTATATAGCTGATTACACCACAGTAAATTTCATTTAGTCCGAGGAACAGTGGAAAACCATGCCTTTTCTTAAAAATACTCCGATTGCAAAGCCTAACATGATCCTAGTAGCAACTGTAATAAGAAAAGTAGTGTGGGATATATATGAGGTCCCCTGGATATCATGATTTCTTTTGCTCTGACATAGCTGGAGAATTCTAAAAAAAAAAAAAAAAAAAAAAAAAAAGTATGTCATTCATCAGCACTATATAAATAATATTTAAAATCAATAACAAGGGAATCTGTTCTTAGAAATGTCTCACAAATGGAAGTTGCACATTCCTGGTGTGATAAGAGACCCTTTTCCTGACTCATCAGGGTAGTGACTTCTGCTAGGTATCCTCAGCAAGAAGAAACAGGAGAGGGACCATATATTTTTAACAGGCAACAAGTGTCAAAAGGCCAATTTAAAACACCCCGTGGTAAGCACACTGCCAGGAAGCACCCAGCCTATAGTTAGCATAATAGGCTCCCCCTTTTGACACTTTAATTAGTCTTTAATGTGTTCTAAGACAGGTGTAAAGAGGCATCTACAAAAGACAGACTACCAAAGCTATTTCTGGCATCAAAGATACTTTTTATCCTCAAAGAGAAAATACAAATTATTTCTTACATGTTCTTAAAAAGAAATGTTTTGTTTTCATCCCATGATTATAGCAATTTCCACAATTGCAGTAATGGGAAAATGTTTTATAGATCGGAGTATAAATGCAATAAAGAACTGTTTTAAAAGAAACGATTCAGGGATCCCTGGGTGGCGCAGCGGTTTGGCGCCTGCCTTTGGCCCAGGGCGCGATCCTGGAGACCCGGGATCGAATCCCACGTCAGGCTCCCGGTGCATGGAGCCTGCTTCTCCCTCTGCCTGTGTCTCTGCCCCTCTCTCTCTCTCTGTATGACTATCGTAAATAAATAAAAAAAAAAAAAAAAAAAAAAAAAAAAAAAAAAAAAAAAAAATAAAAGAAACGATTCAATTTTTTAAAATGCTTTCAGGTGCTTGGTTCTGAGGCGCTGTTTCTCTGCGCAGGGGCGGTTTGGGAAAGCTTACCTATTTGAGCGGTCTTTATGGTGCTTTGAATATGAGATTTACATCAACTCTGCACACTCAATCTCTTTGATTATTTTCCATCTTTACAATTCTTCACCGCTGATACTTATGTGCTTTCTTTGTACTTAGTGCGTTTATGACAATAGAGCAAAGCACAGCCTTAGAAGAAGGAGATGGTGCTCTTGAACTGACTGAGCAGAAAATAAACATGATGGTCCTGGATATCTGCCACAAACCAGGTGGCAGCGAGTACCTGCGGCAAATTTATCACATCATGCGGCTCAATGAGGTAGGGAAACGGCCTTTTTACCGAGCAATTAGGTGTGTACTGGCCTGAGGCAGCGTCTGCTGGCAGCTAAGGGTTAGTCAAGGAGGTGATAATACTTCTTAAAGTCAATACCAAACTCAATATTGCATTATTAATAGAATCTATTCAGCCCCGGCTGTTCTGCATTTGTACAGGCGAAGCTTCACCGAAACAATGTAGGTTTTATTTATATGGTTGAAACAATAACACGGCTCATAAACTCAGTTCAGTTCTGAATTGTAGAGACTAGACGTGTAGTTTGGGAATTGTGTGTTTGTGACTGTTAGGCTGGCGTTCAAATCTGCTGTTTGTGAAATGATGAATTTTCTGGAGAGAGATGGACGTCTTCTGCTGTAGACCTCACACCTGTCTGGTGAAATCGTGGATTTCTTAGAGTGAGAAAACTTCGGAAGAATATTGAACCGTATTCAGGGGCAGCTAGATTAAGCCAAGAAAACACATTAATGCGTGGACGCTGGTTAGAGCCAATGTCATGCTTGTCTACGTGTCTGATGGGTTAAGCCTCTGACCTTGCATGTCTCTGGCATTTTTTTGTTTGAGCAGAAAAATGTAAAGAGCAGGTTGTCAGCTATGGACTTGAAACAATACGAGTTTGCTAACTTCATCAGGTTTTTAATTTGAGCGTTTGTGCCTACATTAGAATTCTGTTTTTATTTGCAAATGCATGAATCTATTTTTTGGAATACTAAAAATTCTATAATATGAATAATGTGAAGCTATCGTGTTTTAGCTCAATGAGGTAGGCCTTAAAAACCATCAATTTCCAAGGAGTGAATTAAATTCTAGCACAGCTTTTTACAACTCAGTTATATAAATGTTCTTTCCGTTACCATCTATCTGAAAGTTGCTTCAAGGAAATTTTGTTTCCTGGCTTTCCTAGAGCTAATCAGTCAATAAACAGGTGATCGAATAGTGCATTCAATGATCGCCTGAGAAGGATGTGAGGGATTTGTTGCTATGAGAAATGGTCCAGTCCCTGAGGCACTGGATCTCAGTATATAATTGTTAGCTGGTAACACAACCTATTCACATTTGCTAATGATCCCTCATAATTTGTTTAGGGTTTCTATGTGGGGAACTCAGGAGCTCCTGACCTTGGCTAACTGAAAGACCACCATTGCGAAGTCATGGTCTTCACTGGCAGGTCCACATGGCCACCCAGATGGCCTTAAGTAACCATGGTGATTACTGAGGAACAGATGTTGCAAGAGGATTACCCTCAGATTTTTAGGAAACTGGTGGTACAGGAGTCCTGAGAACAGTAACGGCTGGGAGAGATTGCCAAACTGATAGACTGTTCACTTTTTAAAAAGCCCTTAACATGAAAAAGCTCAGCAATCACCCAAAAGGAAAATTAAGTTGGATATTTACTGGTTGTCAGCCACCTGTTCTATTCAGGAAATCGAAAGGCTGTTCTCCCCTAGTAGAGCTTGTGGACCTCTGAGGCAGTGGCTCTGAGCAGGTCTGCTGTGAGGCCTCATGTGTGTAAAACGCTTCACTGGGGCACCGCCTACATTTTGATCAATTAAGTTACGATTTTTCTTTCATAACAGGTGAATACACTTACTGTTGTGGTGGTTATCACGTGGGATGTCAAGCTAAGTACTTGCTGATTGTGCTGAGTGACAAACATCATGACAAGGGAGGAAGGAGGCCTACTGGGAAGTGAATCTAAACCAGAGAAAGTAGTGAGCCCTTTGCCTTGTGACTACTAACAACTACTACTACCACAGACTCAGTAAAGACACAAGGCTAAGTGCTCAGAGTAGGGCTTACTGCTGCTTTTATACCAAGGCATTGTTACGCTGTAGGTGAAATGCTCCATGAAGCTTGTTCCTGCTGAGTAGCGCTAGGAGTCTTGAGTGTTTTCAGGTGTGCTGCTAAATATGCTTCAAGAAGGCAGCATAAATGCAGACGCATTCACAGGTACAGGCCTGGACAAGGATGAAAGAATGTGCCATGGAGTAATAACAAAGTTATGAGAGGAGATGAGTTTAAGAATGTTTGTCTTTGAGATAAAGGGAGGACGTCTGAGGATAAGTCTAGTAGGTAGTTGAAGAACCTGGCCACAAGCAAAGATGAGGGAGGTTGTGATTAGAGACTTTGGTGGCCTGAGTGTGGGAGTTGAGGTTAAAGGACTGGTGGAGCTTTTCAGAGAAAAACACAGGAACGTGGGTAGAGAAATAAGCTTCAATGTTACTGCACAGGGAGGGTGTTCAAGAAAGGATGGACAAAGAAGAACATATCTTTTCTAAAGAGAATATCCCAGTACGTACGGTTAAAGGGACAACACAAAAAATCCAGTTTTTTTAGAAGGGGTAGTGACAAGTGCCCGGAGAGTAGAGAGGTCAGAGAAATTAACAAGGGAGAAAACACCATTGTGTTCCCAGCTTGCAGCACAGCACTTGATCTTTCACGAATTGTACACCACCAACAAGAAAAAGGCCAAATGTAGCAATGTAAGGGGAAATCAGTTGACACAGGTTGTGATTAGCAAAAATAAAGCAGGTGTTCTCATTAGAATCTTTTATTCCTTTTAAAAATTTTACTTGCAGAAATCATGACGGAGAGAAATTTTATTTCTGTATAAAAACCTAAATCTAGGCATAACGTTCTTTTTCTGGTGATTTTATTATCATCCAAGGATACTTAGGAGTCTCTGTGTGTGAATGATGCTATAGAATTAATCTAAGGAGATGTGGTCCACAGTGAGCAAATTAAAGAAATGATTATCAGAGTTAAGTAGTGGTTCTTTTTTCTTTCTTTTCTTTTCTTTCTTTTCTTTCTTTTCTTTTCTTTTCTTTCTTTTCTTTTCTTTTCTTTCTTTCTTTCTTTATTTTATTTTATTTTTATTTTTTTTTTTAGGATTTGAGGCTCTAAAATGTCCCTGCCTGGGGAGTACAGTGGTACAGGGGGCATTCCCTACTCAGGAAGTTACATTATAGAGGCACAGGAAAAAAGCATGATGAAGCGAGACCAAACACATGGCTTCTCACTCAGACTCTACTACTCACCCCTGTGATCTAAGGCTCATCTGTGGCCTTTCAGAGCTACATGCCCAATGTGCTGTGGGCTAGAATTATTTAAACTTTTGGGTGCCTGCTGTTTTCCTGTCAGATTCTCTCTGGGGTGGGGCCTGAGATTCTGTTTTTCTAACAGGTTTCCAGGTAAAGCTGACTCGGCTGGTCTGGGTGCCAGACTTTGAGTACCAAGGGTTTTGCAGATGACCTCTGAAGTCCTTTTCAGCTCTAATGTTCTCAACCTAGTCCTACTCTTGAGGGAAAAAATTAGATTTTGACATACTGAAAATCAGGAGAACATTTATATTATTTTATCTCTAGCATGACTTATTAAAAGTAAATATTTGATAGCTTACATGGGAAACTTGAAGTCCTTTCAAACTGTCGTGTTCCAAAAAGAGTCCAATAAAATAGACTAGGATCAGTCACCTTATTTATTTATGAATGGAAAATAAAATATGAAGCAGTCGATAGACTTTTTTGCCCAGGCTGCCCCTGGCAGTTGGAGGCTTGGAATTACATATGTTGAGCTTCATTTGAACCTTGATATTTTTCAGTCCGCAGCATGGAAACAGAGTTGAGGAGTTTGAATTATAATTAATTCTACATAGAGGAAAGATTGCTTGCAGTGGAATATCAGAGTACTCCGCACTCTGCTGAGTGTACAGTAGATAACAACTGCACTTAGTGAATGAATGAGCCACCTTGTACCGTGAGGAATCGTGCATAAGTGAAGTTTTGGTAACAGGACATGTTGACACACGAACCAATGACAAGACCATGCCTATTAGAAAGATTCTGATGTATCGAGCATACATTCGTTATGTGAGAATTCGTTAGATGCTTTCATAATCTACCCCATATATTAGGTGAACCTGTTTTTGATGGGTTTATTGCAGTGCTGATTGGTATTCTGCTGTGTTTCTTCTGAAAATGTATTCTGTCCTGAGGCAAGTAATACGCTGTAATCTAGCAAATGTGCTAAAAGAGTAGATTTGGATATTGATCAGTGTATTTTTAAAGAGAATATATGCTTCCCACCATCACGACTTGTAATTTTTTTTTCCCCTTGAAGGAATATTTAAAAGAACAGCTGTTTTCTATGAATGGTTCGAAGGAAAAGCCATTACCCATCAGACCTTTAAAGATGACCTTGAGGAGTGTGGAAGATCAGCCTTCTGCCTTTAACCCTTTCCAGGTGTACAAGGCATTTAGTGAAAACATGCTAGTTCAGGTATGTGGAAAATAGGAAATGTGTGATCTTTTTTTTTTTTTTTTACACCAATAAAGGAAAAAGGTGCTTTGTGTTTGAATACTTATAAGCTTTTTTTTTTTTTTTTTTTTTTTTTGGCTAAGAAGCAAAAGGCCTTGTTCTTATTTATCTGGTCTGCGTGAATTGACTTTGAAAAAGTTATTTTACCTTCTATTTGTCAAACTGATGCATATGTTTGGTCTGTATAGTTTAACTTTTGACCAGGTCAGTTTGCCATGGGCAGAGGGAACATCTGTTCGACTGTGTCTACAGAAGGCCTGAAAAACCAGGCGTTTCATAAGGGTCTCCTCCCTTGCTGCCCACCCCCATTGCCTACCCACCCACTCAAAGAACACCTTGCCATTTTTATGAACTTATCTAATTTTAAGGTAAATAATAATAAGAGTAGACAACTAATTATAAACAAAGCCTTGAGTTCCTATTTTAAGTCACATGAGGTAAATTTCCCTTTTTATAACCCTAAACATATTCCTGCATTTCAAATGAATTTGCAAATGATCTCAACGTCAGGATATTTGGAATACGGGTAATATGATAAATACCACACGTTTTTAATGCCAGATGATGCATTGTTTAAGCTACCTGTTTCAGTCGTCACATTGAAAAGATCATATCTAAGCCAAAGTATTTGAAATCTAAAGTTGCTTTTGCTTTATTTATTCTTTTGGTGAATAAAAAAGGGAAGAGCTTCCTGACAGGCTATTTGAACTAACAGGGGAGAAGAGAAGGATTGCTTGACCTAGAGCTCTGAGGAAAATAAGAATTAAAACAATAGCCTAATTCGGGATGCAGATAATATTTTTGCCATGCCTGCTACAACCCTAGTCTACAGTCATCAATACTGTAGAATAAGACCTTCAAATGCTGACAACCTGGGACAGAATTCTCCTGCTCTACGACAGGATTGTGGTGCTCCATTAATCAGCAGGTGACAGGGCATAGTTCTTATAGGATTTTAAACATTGGCCTGGACTCTTATTATCAAAACTGTGTAGTTTTAAGAGATACAAGCATCTATAATACTTGGAAACCAAAAATATTATGTAAGTTTTGAGTGTATTGGCTGCTTTTCTATGTTGCACATTAGATTGCTCCAAACCATAAATAATCTTTGTAGCTGTTAAATTATCCTCACTTCGTTTAAGTAAATGGCATGTTTTATTCCATTCTGAATTATGAGATTATCTTTCACAGTAATTTTTCTCCTTACTCTGTTGTGAAATTACCTACTAAATGAGAATAAAAGAACATTATTTACATTTACAGGTTGTTCTAATTTCCCTTTAATTTTTTTTTATTTTTTTAAAGATTTTATTTATTTATTCACGAGAGACACACAGAGAGAGAGCAGAGACAGGCAGAGAAGCAGGCTCCAGGCAGGGAGCCTGACTTGGGACTTGATTCCAGGGTTTCAGGATGACGCCCTGGGCCAAAGGCAAGCGTTAAACCACTGAGCCACCCAGGGATCCCCCTAATTTCCCCTTTAAAGCATTTTCTTAACCAAAAGTAACATTACTATTATACTCTTACTAAGCTGTGTCTTGTAATTTGAGTCATAGCACCTCTAAATCTGTTTTTTTTTTCATAGAATTTCTGGATACTAAAAAATAAAAACTACAAATTGATATATGAAAAAGTTACCAGTTATTTCACTTTTCTTTTCAGAGTCACCCTCTCAGGGAAACTTGTTGGGCAAATGCCATTAGCACTTGGAAGAATAACGACTCAAGAAATTGATTTATATTTTTATAAATAATGACTACATCCCCAAATGGATTTATAAATTAATTGCTGTCTTATTGGAATAAAAACCTTCTTCTGTGGACATGATTGATGTTATCTGTCTAAGTCCTTGTTCTGGACCCCCCTCCTTCTTAGTTAGTCTATCACAGCTGGAGCTTTAATTTACTGATCATATTAACTCTGATTAATAACTAACAATAGCGTATTCTCATTTATCAACAGTCAGCCATCACAAAATGGAACTGGAATTGGTCAAAGTTGCTGCCAAATTATCTGGTACTGGATAAGATGACCTTCAGTGTACTGCTCAAAAACAGGTAATGAGATTTGTGATTTGGGGGATCTGGTTGGGGGGAAAAGGAGATATATATAGAGATAGATATACAGAGAGAGTCATATATGTAAGTATACTTAGAATACTGTTTTTCCATAGTAAGTATTTATAGGAGGTAAAATTTTATGACGTGAAATTAGTTGGTTTTGTCTGAATTTTACATGTTTGACTTTGTGTATGTAATAGTTCAGCATTGTACACACCAAAAGTTATCAGGTTGGATGTCATTATAATACTTTGTATTTGTTTGTGATAATTTAATGAATGCATACAAAATGCCAAGCCAAATCAACCAGTCTAATCAGGGAAACATATAAGTAAAACTGTCATGATTGAATTTTTTGCTTTGAAGCCAGTTCCATTGGCACTTAGTTGCTATAGCTTAAGTTACATATTATTTCACACACACACACACACACACACACACATACACACTCCAGAACAATCTAATAAAATGGTAATGTGCTTTTAGCCTGGGAACCTGCACATGTAATTTATTTTGCACAAAACTATAAATATTTTCTTTATATTCTGGATCTATTAACATGGATTTTAAAATACTTTCAAGTCTTCATTGAAAACAATAAGGTGTAATCTTTAAAAATTGGATTTCTCTTATCTAGTATGACATTTTCACCTAAGATATATATGTGTGCCACTTTTTTATACTCAAGTATCATTTGTTTGCTTATAGTTCAGTATGACGATTATTTTTATATAATCTGTATGATGTAGAAAGTATTTCTATATCTTTTTGATACAAATATTAAATACTATTTTTTCCTGAAAGATCATAACGACGTACTAGAATCGTCAAGTCACCCTTGACAAATCCAGGTGCATGTCAGAAAATATCAAGAGGGAAAAATATCCTGTAATTTCCCAAATGGAGGTTAAAAAAGGGCAGCTTAATTGCCAGTAAAATTTTTCATTTAAATGTGTGGTGACAATGGTGTTCTTAATATTTCACCCTTGAATGGAGCTCTCCTATCATGGACAAAGCTGAGCAGTCCAGCTTTCCCATCAGGCATGGCCTTCTCCCAGCAAGCTTACCACCTGACAGGTAGTAGTTGAGAATACGCTCTGTTCATGCACTAGTCCCCCAGAGCTGGGGCGCGGTGGTGGTGGTGGTGGTGGTAGGGTAAAAGGAGAAGTTATGTGATGTTAAACGTCTATCTGGAAACAAACTAGGAAAGATAAGTCAGTTTTTTCCCTGCTATCTGTAAAATACTGAGTTCATGTGGATTAGCTATATTCTATTTTACTAAGTTTTCAGCTGTGAATTGCTGCTTCCAATCCACTAAATGGTACTCTGGGGGCAACACATCCTTCAAAGCTTTCTGCATTTGCTATGTGTAATATTCACTTTGAGGTGAATTTGTGTTTTTAACAAAATCGCATGTTGTTATTGTGTAAAAACTTTAGATATACTTCAATTAGGACAACGGCTATTAAGTCTCTGTCCCTGAGAGAGCACATTCAAGAGTGCGTGGGAGAAAAGAACTCCCACAAATTTAGCCAGAAGTAACAGTTCAAAACTGTTCTCTTGGAAAAGGGTCATGAATATTTAATAGAAACAGCTAGACTATCACCTTAATAAGAACCTCAGAACTTTAAAGAAGGGTATGAAAAGCAGCCTACTCCAAACTACTATATACTACAAGCTGGAATGAACATAACTGATCTACCTTAGAAGGATGAGGACACTTCAGAGTTTTAACTATTTTTTAGTACTTTCCCAGTTATTTTAAGAACGTTATTTATGGGCCTTGATTAATTGAACAGCTAAGGAAATCACTTCTGTTATTTTTTCTAAGAGACCTTTTTGTTCAGACTTATTTGAAAATGCTGATTTATTTTTTTAAGTAGTGCATTGAATTTCTGACAACATGGCTATTTAAAACTATACATTTGAGAGTGAAATCACAGGACGCTGAACTTTAAAGTAAGAGTTACAGATGTTAAAAAGTTACAGATGTTCCCTTACCTCAACAAAGTGATATTTCTTGCATACTATTGTCATTTCAGGAGGTAGGCAGAGCCAAAGCAGAAAACCTAGAGCAGTTCAGCTGAATATGCTCAGTTCTTTCTCTCAAACTCAGCAATTAAACTTGTTCTCTTTTTCTGTCTGTAATTGGCAGTATGTTTATACTAATCTGTCTCTGCACCATGGTCAAGCCTATATACGGGGCTGCAAGTGTTGTCTGAGGACATGGTGTTATAAACAACATTGAACTCAAATACATTTACATGAAAATTGTTGAGAAAGGGAATCCTTTCTATTCACCTTCTAAATGCTTTTGTGCCTGGTCTTCAAATTTAATATCATAAGGAGACCATCTGTGGACTTACTCTCTTAAGACCCCAAGTCTGAAGTGAGCCAGACCTCTCTCACGCCCAGAACCAGATGGAGATGGGAAAGTAGGATGCTTGAGTTCTCAGTCCCTATTGTAAGCTTAGCTTATAGAAGTTATCTCTTTGTGTTTGGATTTCCTCTTTTTTTTTTTTTTTTTAAGATTGTATTTATTTTTTTGAGAGAGCAAGCGTGCAGATGGAGAGTGAGAGAAAGAGCACAAGCAGGGGGAGGGACAGAGGGAGAAGCAGACTCCCTGCTGAGCAGGGAGCCCGATGTGAGACTGGATCCCAGGATCCCAGGATCATGACCCGAGCAGAAGGAAGATGCTTAACTGACTGAGCCACCCACCCAGGTGCCCCAAGATTTCCTCATCTTTAAAGTGAAGTTGGGGTACCTGGATGGCTTGGCTCAGGTCACTCTCTCAAGATCCTGGGATGGAGCTCCGTGTTGGGCTTTCTGCTCAGTGAGGAGTCTGCTTCTCTCTCTGCCCCTTCCACCCTGTTCATGCTTTCCCTCTCTCTCTCTTTCAAATAAAGTCTTTTAAAGAAACAGATGGGGATCCCTGGGTGGCTCCGCAGTTTAGCACCTGCCTTTGGCCCAGGACGTGATCCTAGAGTCCAGGGATCGAGTCCCATGTCGAGCTCTTGCATGGAGTCTGCTTCCCCCTCTGACTGTATCTCTGCCTCTCTCTCTCTCTGTGGGTCTCTCATGAATAAATAAATAAAATCTTTAAAAAAGAAGATAAAATGAACTAATACTTATACATCTACTTCATGGAAACTGTTGACATAATCAAGAGCGTTAAAGGATATGGCAATGTTTTTGAAAGTTGAAAATATTACACATAATTAGAAAAGTAGTAGCTCTAGCACATTGTTTCCTCTGGTAGGGAGACAATAAAGGTCATTAAGGATTATCAGGGAGCTGGTGGTGGTAGATGGAAGTCAGATTATACTTGACACTGAGGTTATGTAGCCTCCAGGCTTAAACCAATAACAAGACTCAGAAAATGTCAGGTCAGAAATCAGGCAATGGGCCAATGGCTCATTGAGGGGGGACAGGTGTCTAAGAACTGTATGAGCCACTCAGGAGATACTTAAGAGATGACCACGTAAAGGACAGTGCAGACATATGAAAAACTATCACCTGGTGATATCAACAGTATCTGTATCTGAGACTATACTGGTATTTGTTACTCAAGCTGGTTCTGTGATGATTCCAAAGGCAGAACAAATCCTTTTTTTTTTTTTTTTTTTTTTACTCCCAAGTAAAGGTTTATTTACTTGAGAGTGAGAGCAAGAGACAGAGAGAGAGCATGAATGCAAGGGGCACAGAGAGAAGGAAAGAGAATCCCCAAGCAGACTACACGCCAAGCCGGGAGCTCAACTCGTGGCTCAATCCCACCACCCTGAGATCTTGACCTGAGTAGAAACCGAGAGACTGATGCTTAATCAGCTGAGCCACCCAGGCACCCTTAAAGTGGCAACCTGATCTTAAAGTGGCAACCTGAGTACTTGATGTGCCTTCTGCTCCCTGTCAGGCCTCATCTCAAAACACTTCTCCGCATTTCATGATATTCTAAATTCATGGTCTTCTTCCTGTTGGGATTCTCCAAGCTCTTTCTCATTTTAAGGCCTTTAAGGCCTTTGTTCCCTCAGCTCTTCCCATGGTTGCTGCCATCTTGTCTACCTGGAGTACCTGTTAGCTCCTTAAAGAAGCCTTTCCTTATCACTCATCTAAAGTTACCTTACAGGTCACCCGGGCATTCTACTCTCCTGTACTGTCTTAAATGAGTTACCAGTCTCTGAGATCTTACTTTCTGTTTGGTTGTTGTCTCCTAATCCTGCTTCCCAGGGTGGAAAATAAATTCCATGAGAATTGCACCTTACCTGTCTTACTCCAACTGTGTCTTCAGTACCTAGAACATCCATTGGGCATGCAAGAGATTTTGAGTAATATTTGTTGAATTAATTAACAGGCAAATGAGAAATAGAGTACAGAGAAAAAGTTAGCCCCTGACAGATAAGCACAGAGTTGGCATTCTCTAAATGTGAGGTTGGATCAATAGTCATGTAGAAATGAAAATTATACTCTGGAAAATCTTAAGTAAAAAAAAAAAAAACAAAAAAAAACGTGCATGTTCATTCTCTTCATTTTCCAAATTTAAATGAAAATCTAATTAAGCTCTCTGTATGTTTAAAAATTCCTGATTTTATTATTATGTGATGGTTGGGTCAGATTAAAAGCATGGAACCCTGGTCTCTATTTTTAGTTAATTGATCCAGTTCAAGTCCTGACCTGTTTAGCAACAAGGTCTATTCTTAACTTCATGATTCAGAAATATTTTGACATTTGGATGATGGGGTTAGTATTCATTAAGTGATACTAAAAATACAAGTTGAAAAATTTGAGGTAGAGTTAGCTGACAAAAGTATCCAAACAAGCCTTTGTAAAGTTGTGATTTTCAACGCATTTGGGAAAAAAAAATATAGTATCTGAGACCTCAGAGAGAGATCCTGAATATGTATTAATGATAGATGTTTTTCAATTTAGAAAGTTTGCCATTGTGGGGAAAAAAAGGCTCCTTAGAGGTTCAGAAAATCAACATATATATCAGTTCTACGCCT